AAACCACTTTGTTTTTTTTTATTTTATATATACCATTTCATCTATATACCATTTTATTTCCAGATTTTTCCTTTCTTTGATTAACCCTATCAAAGCGCAAAGCTCCGGAAACAAATTATTACTAAAAATTTCATTAAAAAACAATTTAAAATGGAATCGGATAAAATACAATTTAAAATGGAATCGGATAAAATACGATTTAAAGTAGAACTGGAACAAAATGGAATTGGAATAAAATTATTTTCTTGAATCGGCGGTTCGAATCCCTAGTACAGGTCTCCTCTGCGTGAGCAGGGGGTTGGACTAGATGACCTCCAAGGTCCCTTCCAACTCTTGTTACTGTTGTTATTTTTCTACTCCTCCTTGGCTGATCATACCAAGGAAATAAACAAGAGGGAAAGGGGGGGGTTGCCCTCCCAGGCACAATTGCCCCCCTGCCCCGCAGCCAGGCGCTCTGCACATGCTCAGGAGCGCCCCCGCCCAGACTTACGATGATCTTGAGGAAGTAGTTGGACTTCCACGTGGCTCGGTCTTCCCTGGGCATCGTGGTGTCCCAAGGATCGCGCGGCGGGGCGGCGGTTTAAAGACAGCGGCGTTCTCTGGAGAAAGGAGACAAAACAAAGGAAAAATCAGGCCTGGCCGGAGTAGGCCGCGAAGCCTGCCGCTCGCGTGGCCCTGCAACAACAACCTACCTCACGAGGCCTCCGTGGAAGAAAAGGAGTGGCGCCAGTCCCGCCGCTCCCTTTTATACCAAGGACGCCGCGACCAATCAGCGGGGCTGCCTCTGCCGGGCCTCGCCTTTTCCCTCCACGGATTGGACGAGCCGCGGAAAAGGATGAGAAAGAGGAGGAGCGAGGTAAGGTCCACCCCTCGCGGTGAACCACCCCATAGGCTGGCTGGGACGGTCACTCAAAGGAAGGGTTCTTTTGATTTGAATGAATTAGGAGGTTGGAAAAACTTTGCTGTCAACTTTCAATGCAGGCTAATCGGCCAAAATTGTGGAAACCTTTTAGGAAAAGTGTATTTTCTAAAACTACCTAATAACACCACTTCTTTCGGAGTAGTACCATAAGATTATATATCAATGGAAAGATAATTGAATCAAGAATGTAATGCAATAACCTTTATGAAGGATTTGCTTTTTCTCCCTTTATTTATCAGCACAAATACAACAAATATATAAAATACAAATACAACATATATAT